GATACATGTAGCCCGATATTAGAGTGTCTTCCCCTTTGGAGAGGGCTCTCATTTACATCTTTGTATTTCCACCATTTAGACCTAAATATAAACTTTCTTTCCCAGTCTCTGATTTAAACTGTAAATGGCAAAACCCGCTGTGTGATTCTGATGTCATTTAATTTTATTTGAATTTCCTGCAAAGCTCAACACGAAATGTGACGTAACAAGGCCTTGCTTGCAGTGGTCACTTGACTGGGGTGATTTTGGAACATTTTTCACCGATACATCCACTTCAAACAGGTCTAAGATGTGTTGCTGACTGACTTGATTTTAGCATCACTAGCAACAGATTCCTGATGCTCTTTCTGTTGCAAATGTGCTGCAAATTTAATTGATCACCTTGATCCCCCTTGGAAAGGCTCTATTCACACATCCATTTCGAAAACATGCAGGCCACGCATTGAATGCTGTTGTTGAGTTGAAGTAATAAGTAAATGCTTGGATGAATAATGGAAAATATATCCGTGTTATTGTATTATCCAGGTGAAAAGAGGATATCAACCGGATAACTGACATTGTTCCAGTGGGAATTCAAAGCTGTCTGTGGATCCAGTCCTTCAATCACAAGGTATATTGTCTGTTTTGTGGGAATAAAATATAGCAGACATGTACCAGCATTCCTGTAATCATCTTGTTATGTTTTAGAGAAGGCCTTTGTAGGCTGGTCTAAAATTTAAGGAGAGTATGCATTCTCCAATTTCATCCATTTGATCAGCCCATGCATTTCAGGGTAGAGTTAACTTCATCCTGAATATACTGCAGCCTGACTCTAAAGACCCCAGAATAAACAGATAGAAGGTTTGCCTGTTTTACAACAACAGCCTGAGTTTCTTATCTTCAACCAACAGGTAAATGCATAACCCACCCATTTCATACTTTAAAACATATCCTTATGATCTGCACATAGGGCCTAAAGACCACTGTTGTTGCAACAGTGATGGTGAAGGCATTTGTAAACACTACAGAATAAGCATATATTGCTTCCTTAGGTTTATCCAAATAATATGTATTTTTGTTTGGGGCAACCAAAGCCTGAACTGATTGTTGAAAATCTGATATAGAGGTTTGAAAGATACAGTTTGCTCAGAGTATCAGTCAAAGAGGGCATCCCCCTCTGGGAAGATGAGGGTTCTAAAGTATCAAAAGCAGAAGTTGATGCAGTCATGATAGGATCTCATCCAGAGTTTCTAATGCATCAATAAATGAACATATTTTATGTTTGGAATGTTTTCATCCTGATAGAGACATCTGGCATTTCTTTCTGTAGGTTTTTATGAGAGCTATTAGTGCTTATCATTGTTGCTGATCTGATTTATCTAGTACAGCCAGGATGAGGGTAACATGTCCTTTGATCCTCCCATATTGAAAGAAAACAGATCCCTCCCTTCATGCATGCATGACTGGATAAACCCGTTACATGAATAAGCAAAAGCCCCTTTGGTTGCTTAGACTGAGAAAAGAATGTCAAAACCATGTGTAGATCATGAAAAGAGATGCTTAGAGGTAAAAAAAAACAAACTGTTTTTTATTCCAACTGTATTAGAGGATATTCTCCTGAATAATCCAGGTAATGTAACTATGCAGAGAGAAAGAATAACAAAGACAAAATGAAAGAATTGAAATCAGGTTAATAGGTAACACATTAGAATTCAATGCTTCTTTGTAAATAGGTAGCAGTTATAGAAAACATTTTTAGAAAAGATGATTTGATGATTAAAGGAATTTAACATCATTCAGAGTCAAGCATCATTAGTTTGCTGGGGAAATTATAATACATGATAAATATACGCTACAGGCACCCGTTGATATTCTACTTATTTTGAGAATAGCCAGATAGATAAACCGAGGCCTAAGCTAAGATTTAAAGGTAAAAGGTTAAAATACACATGAAAAGGAGAAAATGCCTTTACAGCAAGCTGTACTGTCTATCACAAAATGCGGTATGATGTGTTAAATGCATAAACTTTAAAGCTACGAGCAATGTTTTAGATAAAAGACACTCGTTTGACATGTGCTACTGGTAGGGCATCCATATAATACATGATCTGCACCGGTAATGGCTGGATGGATTTAAGATTATGTTGTGATTAAAAAACAAAACTGAAAAAAAACAACAATTTTAACATTTTAGTTTGAGAAATACTCAATCTTAGAGAAACAATATTTTGCCCTTTGCTACAGTATACAGAGATGTTCATTAAAATAAAAACAGGTCAGGTTGTCTTTTGTTTGTGGTCATCACTTTATAACTTGTCTGGCAGGTCTGTGTTTGTTTCCCAAGTGCAGTGAATATAAAGAACAGCAAGACAAATCCCACTTCAGTTCACTTACACAAAAGTTATGGAGAAGATACTGTTGTTCCTGCTTTTGTGGAAAGCTGTGTTACCAGGTAAGAGCACAATAATAATAACAATAATAATAATTAACCAAATTTAACAATTTTAGACTTTCTATAAATATTCAAAAGGCAAACAGACCTGAAAGTTAAAGACATTTTCAACAGGTTATTTATAGAAAAGTTTGTTGCTTTGTGGCGGAAGCTACTGTCTTTGCAAATTAAGTTAGATTGTGATTTTTATAAAACCATACAGATTGTAATCCAGAGTCCTTCATTAAAGTTTTTGCTCTTCCAACAGTAAAATACAGCATGGAGTTTCATCCTTATCTCTATCCTGGAGTCAAAGATTTCCCAGATTATGCAGNTTTTTTAATAAACTAAGTTTTGCTACAGGCAACATTTAAATAAATCCCTATACTTTTATGAACCATGCATCAACTCTATTTTATAACCTTAATAGATCATAATAAAAATAGTGACTCAATAATTCAAATCTTCACACATTTATTTACTTGTATATGCTCCTTTATGCTTTTAATAGGGAAGTAGTTACAGCAAAATTAAGCAGATTAAAAAAATCAAAGGTACATTTTACCCGAACATCCTAACTCGTTCAAACTAACTAAGGTCTTTAGGAGAGGTTGTGGCTCTTTTGTGGTGATTAGATCTGTTTCCATGGTACAATTAGGCAGCGACCATTGACCAGTTCAAAGTCAAAACTGTACTCTCAGCAGATTTTGAGAAACGTCTGCCCCGGATTAAAGAGACACGCAGAGCTGGGCAATGGGCAGTAGTGTCGCTGGTTCAAAGAGACAAAGTGATTTTTGGATCTAGTCCCCTTCTGTCTTCCTGTTAAAGTGTCTTTTGTGATAAGATTAAGCCCCATTTAGCTTGGCTCATCTCCCTCTTATGCATAGAGAGGAGGTACATTTTCTCCAGACCTCTTCAACATTACCTAATACTGGCTACATGTAATCTGACACATACACCTTCACAAACTAGAACAAAATAATACCAAGTATTCAAAGTTTCAAATATTAAATCCATATTCATTTTAAAGATACATCACAGATCAATCTCATTTTATCCCTTTGTTATTTTTTTGGACAAATCCTTAAAACAAAACAATAGTTCTGCTTTATTTTCTTTAATTTTATCAGCAAGTATTGTTTGAATGGCTGAAACCTAAATCTGACCACAAAAAATACAAGCAAATTTAAAGTGTACATTATGATTTTATGAATTACATGATTACTTCATCACTATCAATGTCATTTTGATTATATTAAGTATACCAACTTGCTCCATGATTATAAAATAAATGTTTCTAAAATAGCAGCTTTTTGCTTTAAAATGTCCTTGTCAGCTTTATTTGACAAGGTAATGCTAGCAGAAGCAAAAAAAAGAAAAAGTTGCAGTTTTGGTTACATCTTAATCCGTGTATGGTTTGTTCTTTGTTTTTGTTTTTTTTTCAGAACAAAAACGAAAAGAAAAAAAAAACAAGCATGTGGTTTTTATGTTTTTCCGTTTTCTTAAACCTAAGTCGAAAAAATTCAAAATTGAATGAACAGAAAATGAACAGCGTTTGAGTTCTGTTTTGCCATCTAAATGAAAATAAAATACGGTTGTTGTTTTAATATGTAACGGTACCGGAAATGAAGTAAGTCACCAAAGAAAAATAATTTACAGTGAATGAAGATGGCATCAATACAAACCATTTCTAAACACAAGGCAATGGCTGCACTTGAACCGTTTTCTGCATTGATTATCGAACTTTTTGAGAGAGAAAAAACACACTCTGAAATCAGTAATGCTTTGAGCCGCCATGGAGCTCCACATTGTGCCAATTCCCTCTAAATAACACAAACGTTTCCATTTTGGTAGTGCCCCTGACGGGGCGACAGTGGCGTTGGATGTAGGAGTTTGCCCTGAAATCGAAGGGTTGACGGTTTAAACTCCGACTTTCAGTGTCGTTGTGTCCTTGGGCAAGACACTTCACCTGCATTGTCTACTGATGGTGGTCAGTAGACCACCTACTGGTAACTAAAAAAGTTATGTGTTGGGAGTTCAGGTCTTCATTTCCGGTTCTGCCATAAGATCTGTTGAATTAAAAACAAAATAAAAGTTTTTTTTTTTGTTTTTTTTTTATTTTTGAAAATGCCGTTTTTCTAATTTCATTTTAAAAACGGAAAAACAAAAAAACCACATGCTTGTTTTGTTTTTGCGTTTTTGCTTTGAAACGAAAAAAAAAAAAAAAAAACTAAGAACGAACCATACACGGATTCATCTTGATTGAACTGCTTTGAAAACTGAATTGTGTTAATTGTAGATGGCAATGCTGGAAGGCTTTAGCTGACTTTTGTTTGCATATTTAAATAATTTTAGTATTTATAGTGTTTAATGCAACAATAACTCAAATGTATAAAACTTGCAAATAGAAAACATCTGATAAATCTTTTAAATTGCATGCCTGATCTTTGTTTCTAAATAACCTTATGTCCTTAGTTATTTAATGACTAGCTGATTTACTCCTATAGCTGCCATTAAAACAATTGTATATGCATTAGTAAAATCACACATAAATGCAGGATGATGCCTTTATCAATCTCCTTATTTGGTTTTATTGGGTGTTAAGGGGTTCAGCAGCTGTAAGGGAAAAACAGAGGATGAACAGTTATCCATTAAGCTTAAATGATTATCATGCAGAAAATTAGGAATGAAAAAACACACTTACATGAACTAGCTGATACATCTGGAAATAGAAAAGATATTCTCATTAATAGATAAGTTATGTTTTGATTTTTTTAATAGCAAAATTGATAAATTGTGTAAATATATCAAAATTGAACCAAGATATCTTACCCTTTTTCTTTTTATAAGCAAAAAATCCTATAATAGGGATGATCAGGACAGTAAGAACAGCCATTGTTGCAATGATGGCTATGCTTGTCACAGATAGGTTTTCTGATCGAACGACACAAAATAAAAAAAAAATAAAAACACATTCACAAATGGTAAATGTCCTGTACTTATATAGCGCTTTTTCCAATTCAAAAGACTTGAGCAAAGTGCTTTACACTACAGCTGGTCATTCTCCCATTCTCACACACACACACACACACACACACACACACACCCACACACACACACACACACACACACACACACACACACACACACAGACAGACACAAAACTCACTACATCAAAGTTGCAGTGCAACAAAGTAGTAAATTACTCTCTTCACCTCTTGGTAAAAAAGGAGAAAATACTTTCTCTACAGTTAAGCTAAAATTTGTTGTATTCTTGCAGATAAATGGATGAATGAATTCATCTATTAATTTTACAAAGAAGGTTCTTTTAACCAAACATAACTGAAGAATCTGATAAAAAAAAAATGAATAAAAAAATATATGAGAAAAGCTAAATATTAATGGTATTGCACACTGTCTTTTTGGTCTTAGGGACTTGTAGCTTGTTACTGATGTAAAGCGTGACTCACTTTAACAAGTAAAGTCAGGAGTGGGATGTAAAGTAAGGACCTTTTCTAGTTATTCCTGACTGTATAGTCCTAAGCAAGCATAGCTTACTGGTTTAATTATGACTTTACAGACTCCTAAACTTTATGTAAAGTTACTACAGCTGTGTTAGCTGCCCATTTTTTGCTTTTTTGAGGAATTGAAAGTGTTAAAAAAATACTATTCACACAATAGCTTCAGCTCGTACCTCAAGTCACCAGCATACAGTCAGATCACGATACAAAACTTACTGAAATTGTTGCATTTTGATATGGAGTTCAATATCGTGCCTATTCATTCATCGTGCTAAAACTAATGTAAAAGTTTGAACATTGCACTTAAGAAATTGATAAATCCCTTATCAAAGCACTAAAAAGATAAAGCATGTGTGTCTTACCTTCACCCTCCTTCCAGTTGGTCCTGATCACATCTTTGTCCAGTCTGGTGATAAGGTCATTTTGAACACCAGAGAGTTGAAATACACAGTCGTACCTTCCCCATTCTTTTAATGGAATATTTGAAGCATTCAGTTTTATAGACATCTGAAAGGATCCATCAAGATTGGGGAGGATTTCCCCATGCTCCACATTCTCATGAATTTCCTCTCCATCCTTCCTCCAGAAGATTATAGCTTTCTCTGGGTAGAAGCCAGTAGCGTGGCAATTGATTGAAGAAGAGGGAGTCCTCTGAAGGAGAGACACTGAGGGAAGATCTAGAGAAATTGTTTGGGTAATCAAAAGAGTATCAGCGGATGGACTTTGAATTATAACTTTACAGATTTTAAAATATTGTCAGTTTTGTAATCATTCCTGTCTGTTCCTGCTCAAGAAGAAAATTGTAATGCATAACAAATTAATTACAATTTATAATTTTCATGCAAAGAGAGGCAGGTAAAGCTTTGATTGTCATCAACAACACAATATTAGTCTGTATAGTCTGTAATTCCTCATAATTTTAGTTAAATGTCTTTACCTTTTCTATGTAGAGTACTATTTCCATAACGCAAATATATCTGTAGCCATAAAGGAAAAATTATTAAGGCAAAGTTTCTTCTTTCTTTATTGCTCTCATAGAGTATATCCCATTGCTCTTTGATAGTCTTAGCCCTTGGATGGTGAGCAATCCATGTTTTTGTATTGAAGTCAAAAGAAATGAAGTCTTCACCATTATAGGCATAGTGGTTGAAAGCAGTAATTTCTTTTGTGTCATCATCCACTTCACAACCAAGTATCTGCTGTATCACATGAACTAAAACAGAAAGAAAGGGTTTGTTGCTGAAATTGACAAAATAATCTGAATAAAACATTTTTAGTTAATATACCTAATAGAAGTCATCACTGTAAGAGATATGCATGTGACACACACTTAACTATCTATTAAAATATTTATGGTTATATACTGAAAATGGATACAGTTCGAGTCTGAGAAAGTAACTGGAAGTAAATGCTGCTCAGATGTTGATTATCCTTTATTAAAAAAAACTGTGGTGTGAGTGTTTTTATATTATCGTTCATGTGCATTATTATCTTACCTTTAGTTTGGTTTGCTGGCAGCTTAAAACTTTCTGCGGTGGCTTTCATACTCAAGTGACATTGCTTGCTCAACTCCATTTGTGGTTCCCAGTATTGTGGGTCTTCTTTAATTATTGTTCTCACCCAATCTTGTCTGGGTTCTCCTATTTCAGATATGCTGTCATAATAAAACATGATGATATCGTCCACAAATAGCACATCTGTGTATTCAGGAAGACTTTGAATCCCATAAGACACCAGGAATTGTATGTCAAATGAGGCTAAAAAATGACAGAATAAAGATAAAATGTATTATAAGTTACAGTTTCAGATTCAAGATTTATATTTATAACATTTTAAAGAATGAAAATATAACATATTTAAATAACCAAGCTGTTATTCCCAGCATAGTGCACATTTAATGGTGCTGTTAACTTCCTTAATCACTGTAGTTCCACTTTAGAATTGGGATAATAACCCAGTCCTGTTTTTTTACTTATACTCTATAATTAAACTGTAATATTTGAACAGTGTCTTAAAATATTTTAAAGAAATAAACACTTTTTAGCAAAACACTCACCTGCAGATGCAGTCTGAATTAGAAAGAACAGCATCAGTTTTCTCTCCATGTTGTAAAGATACTCTAAGATTAACATCGGATCTGGTGGCTGGTTTGCTTTGCTGTCTGGTTCACGTAAGTTTCCTTTTGTTTAAATGTTGTTAGAATTGAAGGCGGGCCTAGCTTTGAACAGAAGCCAATTGGCAAAGACAAAAAGAAAAAAAAAAACCTTAAAGCAAAACCAGTCAAGAAAAGGGCCAGATGCTTTACCACAGGTCACACCCACCACACAACGCACTTTTTTTCCCACTTATATCAGGAAGACAATTTAGGAGCATTACATCACAAATGAAAGATTTTCAGGAACACATTCTTTTCCAGAGTTTTGGAGGTAATCCTTCAGGCTCATACTGAACCCTCCGGCCGAAAATAAATGAAAACCTGCAGCCGCTTAGTAGACAATTCAGCACTATCTTCACTTTATATGCTACATGCCTCTTTACACATTTTTGAAGTTGCAAGTTGTTGTAGGCAGCCGTTTTCCAGAATGGCTAGACAAAGAGAAGTACCGTAATCCACCCGAGATAATTGGTAATATGAGGCACACTAACCGGCCAGCGGTTTCCACAGGGACAGACAAGAGGCAGAATCACAGTCAAGGTTTGGGTCATACACGATTAACAGAATAATCCAGATAGGGGCAGAGGCAAACAGACTTGGTCGAGAGGTAAGGGAGAAGGTCATGTGTCCAAAGATAATAAGCGAAAAGGATCCATGTCAAAATGGATACATGTACAATGCCCTGACAATATTAACTGGTACATCAAAACAAATTTTGAATTGTGTAGCAAATTTCTAAATAGATGTAAAGCCATAACTTGACATATATTGCTGTAAGGCACAATGTGTAAATGTAGAATTGCTTATATGATGTTGTAGGAACTCCTCCTTAACCTCAGGAGATAATGGTGCAAAGCAGAAATTATCATAAAATTAAGAACATTGTGGAAAACCCTGAGCAACCTCTTTAGAATATTGTTAAACAATAGTAGAGTGTCCTAATTGAAAATCTTCATCGGATCTGTTGCAAGACTAACCACTACAGAGATCCTTCCTGACTACAGCTATCAACATCTACAACAACTGAACAACAAGTGAAAAACAAGTAAAAACATCAATGAAAATTTGTATTTTTAAAATTTAATTTCTCTTTATGATCAATAAAGTATTTTTAATTAAATTGAATATTGAACTTAACAGGGAACACATGTAAACCTTTTGCTCCAGTAGGCGAAAAAGCTGTTAGCTTTCATTCTAAAATCTTGGAAATCATGGATTTAGTTGTTCCTATTAAAGGGAATATTGCTTCTGTGAAGTAAAACTCTCAGTGGAGATCAGTAAGAAAAACAAGTGTTGAACAGCTCAATGCAGACACCAAAAATCTGGTTCACTCTAACATCAATGAATAATATTAACAATAATAGTTATAATACTGCTAACACTTATTATTATTATAAACCATAATGACCTGTCCAGGGTGTACCCCGTCTCTCACTAGTAGACAGGCGGAGATAGGCACCAGCACCCCTCGTGACCCCGCTTTGGATATGCGTGACAAAAAATGGATAGATATACAATAATAAAACTTGATTTTAAAAGGGACAATGTACAGCTGAAACTTACATGTCACCATTTGACAACTTTCAGCTTAGTCCAATTCATATGAAGCTAATTTGCTACATGTGTTTTTTGTGGTCTCTGATTGAAACCCACTTCTAACTGTAGCAAGTTAACTCCACTCTACGAGGGCCTGCAAGGAAATTCTTCCCTGAAAGAATCCCCGAAAGATTAGAGGGGCAGCCTGTACATACACATCCACTCAATAACTTATTTTTCTTCATTTCTTCTTTTTATAAGTCTGCTTCTGTCTCCTTGAACCCCAGTCGGCCTCGGCAGATGGCCGCTCACACTGAACCTGGTTCTTGTGGAGGTTTCTTCCTGTTAAAAGGGAATTTTTCCTCTCCACTATCGCTAAAAGCATGCTTTGTGTGAGGAATTGCCTTTTAGACAATGACTGTATGCAATCAACTGGTTTCCTTAGATAGAAAACTGTTAATAAATCTGACTGTATGATCTGGTTGAATTATCTCTGTAAAGGGCCTTGAAATGACATGTGCTATGAATTGGCACTATATAAATAAACTGAAGTGAATTGAATTACCAAAGTTACCTTGAACTACAACTGATCCTGACAAGAATTCCCTACTTCACAAAATAAACTAAAAAAGATTAGAAGAAATCATATGGCAACTAAAATTTTGTCTTCTTCTGTCTCAATCTTTTACCCACACCTTTCCGTAAGAAAGTTCTGCTTGTGACAACATCTGATTCAACTCACATAGTAAACATGTCCCCTTGCTAACATGTTTTTCCCAAGCCCTAAAAATAGTTATTATCAATCCACTTTTGAAAAAGAGCAACTTACTCAAAGTGTATCTGGGTAGCTGTATAAATGCACAGTCTGTATAAATGCAGACTGTGAAAGAAGTACAGCGTTGGTTATTGGAACTTAGTACAGTGTTTCATACTGTTTATCACTTAATTTTATTAGAGTGCCAAGAAAACTGAGTCTTTCTTTCTGCCACAGCCCTGGACTTTCACCCCAGAGCCTCTCTTATTCAATATCTACATGCTTCTCCTAACTCAAATCTGAATTAATTGTCTTTGATAAAGACAATTAGACATGAGAGTAAATAGGGGACATATTTCTAGATCTTGGTTTCAACAATTCAACCCCATGAAAAGTGACGGTAGCATATGCTTAACCTTGATGTAGACATTGTAGGTTTGTCTTTTATAGCAGTGACTGTAAAAAAAAAATTAAAAGTAAGAAATAAGGAAAACGCTGAATCCATGGCAATGACATGTCACATTTTATAACTGTGTCTTTATTACGAACACCAAAAACGAAGATTGAGGAAGCTTTTCTAATATCATGTTGAAAGAAAGGCCAGACGTGTTATCAGATTTTCTTAAAGCCCCTGTGTATTCTTAGTCAGTGTGGCGTTAAGGAATGTTTTCACTTCAGTCTTCCAGGACAATCTTTTTTATACACTGGAACTGGTTAAACTAAATTCGGAGCCAAATCAGATGGTGTACTCAACCTCTCGGCTCAGTTTAAATGTTCTTTGTTTTATCCTTAAAACAAAAACCTGCTGAGCTTGAATATACTTTGCAATTAACTTACTTTAGATGGTTTGGAAAGTTTATTTAGCAGTGCTTTATGATTTTCTATTGCTGACATGAAATTATTCCAACATTTTCTGTATGTAAAACATATAATAATATATATAAGAAATATAAATATATTATACATTTAGAACTTTTCAGGAACATAATAAATGTTGCTTAAATTAGATTACTGGTCCCAAAAAAAAGACAAAGTTGGACATATTGAGCATGCATTTCTGAAATAAATAAGAATTTCATCTGAAGATGATTTTGAGAAAGTCTCTGTTTTGGAGTTCAGTTTTACCTATGTATTTCTGTTTAGTTGCTGCTCATTGGAGATATTTTCTGTGTAGAGTTTTTTTGTAATAACTTCTGTGAAGCAAGGGGCGTGGAAATTCTTTTCAATCTTGCTTTTTCAATGGTAAGCCATACGGGTGATAAGATAATGGTGCTACTTAACGAATTATAGACTTGGTTCTACATTCTTTGGTATGAAGGTATGAACAATACAAACCCTTAAGGAAATAAATTCTAAATGGTACTTTCCAAACAACTAATGGTCCAAATATGCATTGACAGGAAACTGCACACAAAGAAATTTCAAGTTCTTTAGCATTAAAAGATTACAAAAAAATATAGTTTTAGAAGATTTATTTGTGATAAATATGATGTAAAAAAATAACAAAATTTTTACTACTTATAATGTTCGTTTTTAAAGCTGTGTTTTTTTTGTTGGCGTTATTTTTCATGTCTCTTTAAACCTAGTTTATTCTTTCTATATTCTTCCGTGACCTATTAGTGATTGCATCAGGGCCATGCAGACGGCACTTGAAGGGCAGATGCTCAATTAACAGATTCTTCTTGTTAATTATTTGATAATGATAAATTATTGTGCTGACAGAGAAGACATTGTACAACACTTTTCTTTCATATAGACTGGCCCAAGAACTGGAGATATTACTCATCAACCTGAAAAGTCATGCCTTATGACAGTTAACATGCATGCATGATTATGCATAACTTTATGCCGTCTATGCTGCTATAGGGACCGTGGTAATTTCGCAAATCAAGACTGAAATGGTGATAACATGATTTTGTTAAAAGCTGTCAAGCATATTCATACTACTTTATGTTTATTAAAAAATAAATCTCTCAGATTTGTGTACTTCGAAAAATAGCGTTTTTGCATTAATCATGTTTTAACACAATGGTAAAGAATTCAACTGTATTTACATCTAACAAAGATATCTCAAAATATATTTTTTTTAATATGTGTGGTTAATTGCAGTTAATAACGGTTAATTGCGGCTGGTGGAGTTTTCTCCGGGGGGGGGCTATAAACTCAAAATAGACATATACCAAAAACCAATCAAACATAAAGTATACCAAGTTGTCACACCAGTATATTCATATGAATGCCAACAACAAAAAATATTATAAAAACACTATAAAAGCAAAACATAATTTCATGTACAGGTTTACTGTTTGTACATAAATTTTGCCCTTCAGAGGCTTTGTGAAAGGAAATCTATGTTTTGCATGATCCAATATTGTGTCACAAACCTAAAAAAAAAAAAGACTATTTTAATAATGGAGAAGCTATTGGTCAGCCTTACTACTATTTATTTTAGCAACTGTTCAAATTAACAAACATCTAGAAAAAGTAAACTATATTATATTTTATTATTTTCCATGTGAATTCCAGATTGTTCATGCTTCTTGGCCTTTTTACTAAAAAGGTTCTTTGAATCAGTCCTACCTGTCTTTCTACATGATGGCTCAGATCCTGACATTTGAAAATGAAGGTAGAGAAAGCAGAATACCATGTTAGCCTTGCTA